AGAGAGAGAGAGAGAGAGAGAGAGAGAGAGAGAGAAAAGAAGAAGAAGGAGGAGGAGGAGGAGGAGGAATATAAATTATGGCAGTGCATAAATAAGGATTTCCCAGAAGCCTCTTGTTGCTATCCTGTAATAGAAAGCTCTCTTGAACTATTTGAGTCCCTTGGCCTCAGTGAAGGAAAACCCAACTATATCATTCTGCTTCATTTCAGGCTCCTGGTATCTCTCCTGCCTTGTGCCCACTAACCTCCCAAATCTGCCTCAACCTCCCAGGGGTGTGTGGAGTGCCACCCACCCACCCCTTCCTAAATACTAAGTACTAGGGTGCTTCCTAATACTAAGGTGCACAAATGCACAGGTCTTACAGCACCCAGGGGTCAGAGGCCAACACCAGCCCACACGAGGACCAGCCTGGAGTCCTTCTGTGGCACCTGCTTTGTGCCAGCTCTGAGACTCTGTACTCATGAACTCATTTGCCTCAAAGGCAGTAGTGTTAACATCTCTATTCCAGAAAAAGCAAAGGCGATGTGCCAGCCACAAGGACAGGAAGGGCGGTCTGGCTGGTCCATGTCCTCTGCGTGCTCTGCTAGCTGGCTGCCCCACTTCTGCTTGACTACAGTAGATTCACATAGGCCAAATGGCACTGCAGCTGACCAAGAGGGCCATGCCCCTTAAAAGATAGGGGTGATCCCCCCAAGCTGACATGAGGAGCAGGCAGCAGAGAGGGCAGACCACAAGGCTAGCCTGGCAGGCCCAGGACAGTGGATAGTTCTCAGGTCATCGCTGTGAGCATGACACATAACAAAGTCAGACCTCCCACCCAACTTTGCTCAAAGAGAGGAAAGCCCTGGCAGTCTCCCTGATTCCCCACCCACCTTCTAGGCTCTAGGCATCAGCGAAGATAACAGGTTGGGTGTGGAAGAGCAAAGCCTGTGCTCTTAAGGTCCTGCCACCATTCCTCCATAACCTCCTTGTTATTGGTGGTGGTTTTGAGTTTCGTTCTGTTTTTATTTTTTGAGCCAGGCTCTCAATATATAGTTTAGGCTGCCGTAAACTCACTACGTAGCCCAGGGTGGCAACCCTCCTGCCTCAGCCTCCTGAGTGCTTAGATGACAGACATGTACCTCCAGGCTGGGCTTCTCAGTTTATCTCTTGCTACCATGAGGATTCCTGGAAATCCGGCCAGATACTTCTCATACTTACTCTCGAAGAATCAAGTCACCCTCTACTCAAGTCATGCTCCCTTTGCCCAACAGTTTACAACCATCTTTCTAGTGTTCAGTCAGAGCTGAAAACAAAGATGATTCAATGTTCACCAACATTTCTTACCTGTCTGGTGCCAATCTAAAGCTCTAACGACTCTGTATCCCTGGTTACAGTCACTCAGGCGCCAAGGGGTAAAGCCTCGTCTGTCGTCTGTCGTTCAAGGGTCTTTTTAGGGTGGGCGGGCACTCCCACTCTGCCTGCCTGCCCTCTGCCATCTTTGCTTAGATGACCCCATGACCTGGTTTCCTTTTCCTAAAGAGGGGACTAAGAAGAAGGACACAGAAGAGCGGAAGAACTCAAAAGCCCCGTCTCTTGGCCCAAACCTTCCCGCTTTCACCTTGGAAGTCTTTGAACTATCAAAACCTAAGTCCTAGATGGCACCTGGGCATGATACAGCTTCTTAGGGCCACTACAAAGGGACAATTAATCTCCTAATGCCATGGCCTCCCGGACCCACCACAGGAGCCCACTTAACGGGGTGGACACTGCTGTGCTGGGTCTCCAGTGGCCAAGGAAGGAGAAGACAGACACACGACACAGCCTCTAAGCAATGATGATTTTCCTGCATCAGGAAGGAAGCAAATGCGGTCTTAGGAATCCTGTCCACTCTCACCCAAAATGCAGCCAGAAGGAAGGAATACCCGGCCCACAGTCACAGCGATGCTACCAAGGGGACACATGGCAGTGGGACGACAGCTAAAGAATATCGAATCTTAACAAATGAAAAGTCCCTAGTGACTCTGAGGGTCACTAGTTTAAAGTCCCAGAGAATAAAGCTGTCTGGCTCTGTTGATTTGTCTCCCTCCCCCCAGTAGTTACCAGCCCAGATTCAAATGTTCCCAAGCATGAGAAGCTCACTACTTCTCTAAGCTCCGCTGCTCAAGTTAGAAAGCTCTGCTTCCATCAAAAACAAGCCTGGTAACCTCTGCCCCATCTCCATCTTGCTACCTGTTATAAGAGTTCCCAGACTTACAAATCCCCTATGATCAATGTGACAAATATGTAGATTAAAATGACAATAACTTCATTTTTTTTTTAGTTTTCAGACTTGAATGCATATCAGAATCATGAGATGACAATAACTTCATTTGTTTAAAAGCTTCCAGAGGGGGCCTGGCCATAGCTCAGTTCTTTAAGTGGCTGCTTCCACAAAGCTGTGAGCCTCAGGTTGCTGTAGTTCGACTCCCACAACACTCCAGCCAGACAAACCATGCCTCAGGGCATTCAGAGCAAAAAAAAACAAACCCTTATTCCGTTTTCTGGGCTGGTGAGATGGCTCAGTGGTCTAAAGCACCTACTTAGAACAAGCTTAGCAAAGCACAGGGACCGCAGTTCAATCCCCCAGCACCACATGCCAGCCAGCCCTGCCCCCTGGTGGGCTGAGCTGGCCACACATACACACGCGTGTGCGCACACACACACACACACACACATATAAATAAATAAAATTTAAAAAAAAATAAATAAATAAAAATAAATAAATAAAAGCTTCCAGACTTGAATGCATATCAGAATCATGGGGATTTTTTTTTAAATCTTTTATTTATTTATTTGGTACAGGGTCACGCTACACAGCTTGGACTCACAGTGATTGTCTTGTCTCAGCCTCCCCAGCACTGGGATTACAGGCATCGACCACCACACCTGGTTTTGGGGCCAGCACAGCATGACCAGGGTTCTGGGGCTCGCACAACATACAGTACCAGGGATTGAACCTGGGTCCTTGTGTTTGCCAGGTAGGCACTTAGACCACTGAGCTATCTTCCCAGTCCCATGAGGGCTTTGTTAGAAGCATTAAAAATTGATCCCAACTAACCAAAGGAGTGCCCCATCAGCTGGGGGCTCTGGCATCCTCCCCTGCGGCACCTTAGAATAATGGGACAATGAGTGACTGAGTTCTGGTCCACAGGTTTAAGGTCGTTTTTACCACTCTTCTGCCTGGGGTCTCTGAAAGCAAATGGTGCAAGGCATGAGGCCAAGCGCATCCCTGTGAAATAATCCTGTGTTGATGCAGAGTTCTGGGAGCTGGAAAGACAAACCCTGCACTTGCTGGAAAGAGGTTTAAGTTGTTAGAAACTATCAAAACAGAATCATTCAGGCTGATCCTCAGCTTTTTGTTGCTGGTGGTGGTGAAGTAAGGGCTTTGGTGCCACAATCACAGTGAGCAAATCCGAGCTGCAGCACTCGCACAGGTGTGCAACACTGGAAGAGTCACACCCCTGAGTCTCATCCAGTTTCTTCTCTATAAAATGGGACAAAGAGCTCTACACACAGTCAGAAGTATTATTAAATGTACTAGACCTAAAGCTCTGTCCTGCCCCTTTCCACCTTTCCTCTTCTTTCCTAGATTTGTGTCTGCCAAGGGGTGCCCCCTGGGGAGCAAAGCCCTTTCTCAACCCCACTTAGTCACACTCAAGAGTTAACCAGCCAGAGACCCTTGTCCCCACATTCTTTTCCTCTTATCTGGGCCAAAGGAGGAAATAAGAAGTTCTTCCAGGCCTGACAGACAACCCAGGGACAGGCCAGAGCAAAGACTTGAGTCTGGCAAAGCTGCCTGCCTGCCCTAGAGGCAAGGGTGTGTGTTAGAGCCAGCGAGATAGCAGCTCCAGTTGAAATCTGCTCAGCAATGTTGAGATGAGAACTTCCTCATTACATTAGGCAATTTTGGTCAATTTCATCTTCCCCTTATCACACTAGTCCTGTCCCTTTAAGGGCCCAAATTTCCCTGGCAGATGAGCACTAAAGGAAAGGAAATTACAAAGAGCAA